AAAAAAAAACTTCTGAAATATCAGACAAAAACCTGCTGAGAAAAATGTATTTTTAACTCCTTTATTTTCAATGTTTAATGCAGGATAACTGTAAATTATGTACAGTTCTATATTAGGTATAGAGTGCTTTGGTGTTTTTTCTGCAATTTTTTTAACATTATTCTCATTTAATATACATTTCAACAATCCCTTCCCCTATTAGTTTGTTACATCAAGGGTTTGCTTCTCCTTAAAAAAATATTATTAATGATGATTTCCATGTTTTACCTCACCTGTTGTGCCAGTAGCTTGCGACGTAGCTTAGCTCGCTCCTTCATGTCTTTCATTACCTCATCTCCACTCATTATGATTGAGCAAATGTCTGAGGATGCTCAGGCAGACTGGATAATGTGTGTTAGATGAAACTATAAATGAAAAGAGAAAAATTAAAATATAACTTATACACGATGATTCTCGACTTCATATCACGAAGTATAATTAATAGAGTCCCCAGGTTATACTTCAACGTTATATATCCTTGGTAAGGCCTCACTTAGATTATAGTATACAGTTCTGGTCATTGTATTACTGGACATAAATGTACTAGAAAACAGAGAAGGATGACAAAATTTATCCCGTGTGTGCGTTTATGTATATATGTGCATATATATGTGTATTTATATGTGAATATGTATATATGTGTGCATGTGTATATGTACATAAATGTATGCATTATTATAATCAATCTAAGCGCTAAACCCATAAGGGTCATACATCGCTGACTTAGTAACAGAGTTGAGGGTAAATGATTCGAATCTTTAACAGGGTCTAGGTACAATGACTGCCTGGCTTTTTTTTTTTTTTTGTCTGTCCTAATGCAATCTGTTTTGACCCAGGGAAGGAAAGGGTGTCTCTAACTCCCTGGATCAGGAGCCCTTCCCGGGCGTTAAGGAACTGTGAGACTTTTTCGTAAAATTGTTATTTAATTAAAGTTTGTGGTCATTGCTAGTCTTCGTTGTTTCTGTGCCAGTCTGTCATTATTATTAAGAATTCTTTATTATCGTCAATTTTCAATTATAAAACAACTCTCCTATTTCTATTTTCTCTTCAAAATACAGTATTTAATATTAAAATAGAACACCAACCTGAAGGAGAAGCGTCAGAGAGATTTTGTTATTGTTGTTGTTGTTGTTAGAGTTGGGGTTGTTAAAGGCTGCCAAGACTTAAGTCTTATTGAACCCTACTTCTCAGAAGTCCGGAAAGAAAACGTTTTACTCAAATTTATTTGGGAATTATAAAGGAAATAACCTCTCTTTTTGAAATAGAAAAGGAAAGAATAAGTTTTTAATTAGGCTAGTTGAGCACCCCTCCCTATATCCAGGAAGAGCCAGATGCCCATAATCCTCCATTTGAGTCAACAATATCAGGCTTTCTTTAGACATAAGAGTTGATGAATGACACCCGGACCAACTGTTCAGCAGCGGGCAGTGTATGATGAAGACAAACGTCCCAGGTAGAGAAAACAGAAAAAATGATCATTGAAGCTTATGGAAGTGGGGTAGAGCAAGCTATCAGCACTCCAGCACATACTCAGAAGTCCGGAGCGTCAGACAAAGTGGACGCCGCTGGTGTAAACAAACCACCAGTGCCATCTGTTCCCCACCACGAGAAGCAATGTCCATGTAGATGTTTAGTGTAATATATTATGAAATGACAACGAAAATGTTTATTTCCTTGCAAAGCTTGCAGTGTGTGGTTTACATATTATAAAATATTAATTACAAAGAAAGCCACTAGCATGCCTAGGCATTTCGGGCACACCATACCCATCCTGTGGGTGGCAGTCAAATGCCATGTAAATGAATGAGACACTTGTGCGACAATTCACCATCACCCTGTTCACCCACCAGTATAAAATGGGTACATGGGTGTTAGTCGACTGGTGTGGGTCACATCCTGGGACAAAACTGACCTAATTTGCCCGAAATGCTCAGCATAATAAGGGGCTTTCTATATAGTAGTATGTCATTGATGCCAACTGTGGAAATTTATTTGGTCCCTAAAGTTCCACAGGACAGATCCAGCATGGCCGTAATGGGACGGCTGAGCTGGCTGGCCCTTAAACTCTCCCAAACAAACAGCATTCTCTCTATTTTGGCATGGATTGTTGGTAGGCATTTATTTAATTTATAGATTTACCCTTCAGGCAAGGAGTAGGTAGTTTTACTGTTAGTACACTAATATTAGGTTTACTAAGGCAACTGTAGATAATAATAATGTAGACCTAAGACCTTAACATAGGTAGTAATAGGCCGATAATGTAGGCAAACACTAGGTTAAGTTAGCTAGGGAGAACTGGCAGCCCTAGCTTGAATGATGAGGCGCGGGGCTCAAAGACACAATAGCGTCCTTCTTAAGACAGACACCGACTGGACAAGACGTGCAGTGATCAGCAGACGGCGCCCCCCACGTGTCTTCACATTTGAGACCTGGGGAAATCTGGTAGAGGCACCTCGATGTACCGTAGATGACCTTCGTCAGGCCCATACAGTACGACAAGACCTCCACTATATCTCGTAGATTTCTGGCCAGTGTCTGGGGAGATTGTGAGTGAGTTTTAACTGTGGGCCCGGTGTGCAACAGGCAGTGCATGCCCAGTAAGTACCAGTGTCTCAAGGCAGTCTGGAAGCTAGTGTCCGTGTCTGCATAGTTATACTAGGGGATACTTACCCTCTTGGATATAGGAATTTCTGAGGTGCAGGCAGGTCACTAATAACGATTGAATATTGCAGGAATTAAGGCTCCTGGTTGCACGTGGTTTCTGAGGGGAAGTCCAGAGGGGGCTAAGGCTAAGCTTAGGGAAGTTGAAGATCAGGATATATGCTGCAACACCAAGTAAGATAGTCCTCTATACGTGCATGCAGGCGAGTTTCTTGCAATACCAATCATTTGTGAAAATCTGTCCTATAAGCCACTTGTGAGGCTGAGGTACCCACCTCAGAGCTCGGTGTCAACAGAGTTTGCCAGGGTAGGCGACTCACTTGGAGGCAGTCCACACAAATTTTCACACCAACTATGGTCTGTATACCTTGTACATGTACTTGTAGTAAATAAAGATATGATTATTATTATTAATTGGGTATCTTTATGGTGGAAAGGTTTCGCCAATAATCGCCTACAATTGGCTAGGGTGGAAGATGAAGAATTTGACATAACGATTACCTCAAACTCCTCCTTATCTTCCACTTTTCTCTTTTTTTTATTTTTTTTTTGTTGCACAAGTGTCTCGTGTATCAACTTATCAGTTCTCTAAACCATTTATTCACAAAGACTAAAGAAGTTTACTGTGTAGGCGAGACGTTTTGGAAGATACGTGACTGCCACACACGTGTCTTACTTATCATACTCAGTGATAGGTAATGTTGCGATTATTTTTCCTTGCTGAGCCTAAAATTAACCAGTCTCTCTGGTATTATTAATTATATTTAAGGGAAAGTGATCAACACATACGGTTACGTAGCACCTGGAGAAAGGAAGGTAATTAGGTTTGATACACGGAAATTATTATAATCAAAACTAAGCGATAAACTAACAAGGATTTTACAAAGAATTATTATTATTATAATCAAGGGGGAAGCGCTAAACCCGGAGGATTATACAGCGCCTGGGGGGGATGTGGAAGTCATTCAGGCTTAATTCAGGGAACTGGAGCACAGATCAAATTCCCTAAATCAAGAGCCCCTCACCAACATCAAGGAACCTTCCTTGAGGGGTTTTACTAAGAAGAATCGGCTCAATTCCTTTGATGTAAAACTTCGTACACGCATCGGTGGCCCGGTGGCCTGGTGGCTAAAGCTCCCGCTTCACACACGGAGGGCCCGGGTTCGATTCCCGGCGGGTGGAAACATTTCGACACGTTTCCTTACACCTGTTGTCCTGTTCACCTAGAAGCAATTAGGTACCTGGGTGTTAGTCGACTGGTGTGGGTCGCATCCTGGGGGACAAGATTAAGGACCCCAATGGAAATAAGTTAGTCCTCGATGACGCACTGACTTTCTTGGGTTATCCTGGGTGGCTAACCCTCCGGGGTTAAAAATCCGAATTAAATCTTATCATGGTAGTAATCTTCATGTTCCTAGTCTTTACTACTGATGCTTCCGGTGTTCATCATGTCTGACTGTTTTGGGTTATCCCAGGTTCTCTACACATATGTTGCTATGTATGATAACCTGCGTAACTGTATTTGTGTATACCTGAATAAACTTACTACTTAATTCATGTAAGTTTGCCAGGACGGGTCCTGGCCCGGGTCTTCTCCATGTGGTGACCCGGTAGCCGCAGCTACTGCAAGTTAGCGTAGCTCAACTAAATTAAGTAGTACTGAGCTGCTAGTGCAATATAGTAAATGAGAAAAATTAGACATGGTAATATTAGCCTGCATATCTTGTTATGAGTAGTGGCTCGCAAGCCGCTGGCGGCTCGCGAGCCGCGCAATGAATACCACTGCGGGTAGTGGCTCTCGAAGGAGTGTTGGAGTTTGTACAAGTGATGTACTGTTTATAGCCCTATGGCTATAATCTGGGTACAGTAAGCATTCCTGTCAAGTGGAGTCACATACTAACTCAGCTGCTCGCGTAGAATGGTGGTTCCCATGGAATTATTAAACACACATCTTGAGATAAATTTTTAATCAGTTTTGGTTTTGGTCCTGGAGAAACAGAGCCAGAAACATAAGGAAATTACAAGCCGTAATGAAATATAACTGAGAATGACCAAAAGAACTATCACTGCTGCCCATACGTCCACATTATACAGCTGGTACCTGAAACAACAATTCGTATGACAAGACAGAACTGAGACATTGAAAAAAATGAATTGTGAGAGATAAGAAATATTAACAGTTCTGTATAGCAGATATTGCATTTCCTTATAAATCGTATATTGGAAATGGATAATAGAGGACGTTTCGGTCTGTCCTAGACCATTATAAAATCGCGAGTCCAAGAACTGAACCGCGTTTAAATTTTATTTCCAATTTGTAGTTTAGTTGTGGATTGTTCCAGTCAAGGTACAGTGAGTTTTATTCTTCAGTAAACTTCTCCTATATACACAATGAAAAAACGTATATTAAAGAATAAAAAAGCACTATACCGTAACTAGAACAACACACAAATAACCCGCACATAGTAAATGAAACTTATGACGACGTTTCGGTCCGACTTGGGCCATTAACTAGTTAATAGTCCAAGTCGGACCGAAACGTCGTCATAAGTTTCATTCTCCTACATGGGGGTTATTTTTGTAAAACGTATATAGCTATTATTATTAACGTTAACTCATACTGAAGCAAAGTTGTGCTGACCATGTCATGGTGGCAGCAGGACACCGGAGATGGTATGCTCCCTGGTGTCGTATAACATACTTGATCCAGTAGAGGGCCACCTCTGCTGGCTCTTGTGGACGATCTATCATAACTTTGGACCATCTTGCTACCTCAGTTTTCATGCTGCTTCGTCACACACACCAAGAAAATAATTTGGAATATATGTTGCATCATTAGGCTGCGGGGGCGTTGACCCCCAGAACACTCTCTAGGTATACTCCAGGTATGTATTTATATAAACATTATATGATGTATGCAGGCTAGCTATTTGACTTAATAATAATAATAATAATAATGAGTGATGGTGAATGTGTTTACCTTCTCTGATTCACCTTTGGTGGGTAAAAGCCGATGAATTGAAACAAAATGTCAACCTTTAAGATAAAGCTGAAACCTTGTGGTTACAGTACCTTGTGTCATTCATGACGATATTGATCGTATTCTTGAGATTATCAAAGGTAAGTTGGTCCCAGAAGAGCACTTTGCCCCAGCCATCCCTCTGCACCTTGATTATGTTGGCTTGCTGGTCAGCAAACAGAGGGATCCCCAGCACTGATACACCGTGGTACATGGACTCCAGGGTGCTCAACAACCCACCGTGTGTGATGAACAAACGCAAGCGAGGGTCACCTGCGTAACATATAAGTACATTATTATTATTATAATAATCAAGGGGAAGCGCTAAACCCGGAGGATTATACAGCGCCTGGGGGGGGGGATGTGGAAGGCATTCACGCTTAATTCGGGGAACTGGAGCACAGATAACATATAAGTACAGTTTGGTTATTATCAATGTTTTATTCACGAGAAAGCGCTCTGAAGGCCCCTGTGGCATGCAAAGAGTACGTAACCTTTATTCGGCGCATGGACACACCCTCATTTACAGGCTATCTCCCCCAACCAGCGAACCAGGTTGCTAAGAGTTGATGATGGGGCCCCATCGTTCAACTAGTGACCAGGTTCTAGCCAATAAGAAGGTGGGATTGACAATCGCAGAGGTTATGTGGATACCGCTCTCCTGTCTGCCCTTGTCATTCCCACTCTAGAGCTGGTTGAAGCACGGTCTGCTATCTTGTGGCTTCTATTTCTGCCTTGCTTACCGTGGAGTGCACTATATTTATCACTGTACATAGTGTACATATTGCTGTTATAATTGGTGAAGGATAATATAAGTCTAAACTTTTTCTACTGTGTTTATTTGCTCCCATTACACCTGGGATAACAGGCCATTTGAAATCCTAGGTTGTAATAGCCCCCATACATTGCATATATTTATGTGAGGTGCCAATTTATTCTTTCACACGTATGTCACAATTGTCTTCAACCGAGGTAATTATGTGATATAGCACGGTGATAGTGTTTCTTTCTCTTCACTAATGTGTTTATCACATATTTTCACGTTACTGTAGGTGAGCCTAGTTAAGACCTGGAACTTCAGCTCACTTAGTGCTTGCCTCAATAGGGCCCTGGTGGAAAGATTAAGACAGGGGTTTCTAAAACCCCGCGACGTGGCCCAAACATGGCTCCTGAGAATCTTTTCATACCGTTAGAAGAAGAAGAAGAAGAAGAAAAAAAGGGCTGCACTGCGATATTTCCCAATTAATTAATATTATGCTGTTCATCGATGAAGATTTTCAGGGGGACGTTGCGCAGTAGGTCCGGGTACCTTTAAGATCGAGAAGCGAATGTGATTTCAAATTCTGAGTTGTGTGCACAAAAAAAAAAAAAAAACTGCAGGAAAACCCTGGATGAAGATGTACCTACCAAGAATATCTTGTTGTGGGAGCCACTTGCCAAGACGGACATTTGGGGGCAGGTCATCCATAGTGTCCTTATCCCACTTCCACAAGACTCTCTGCTTGAGGGAAGCAAACACTTGAACCAGGACAGTGCGGTACCTGTGTGTATTGTGTGTAAGATTAACTAACATACTGTATCACTGGTCTCATACAACAGATATGTTATTATCTATACATTTATTTCATAGAAAATGTTAAAGAGTTGAGACGATGTAGAGACAAAGACGCGTTGCAGAACAAACCTAAATTAAGACTGTGGATTGCTCTGTAGAACTTTATTAATTCATGATCAATGCTCTGTACAGATTCAAACTAAAGCTTGTTCTGCCACTTGCGTCGTTGTTTTTATACTTGTAATGTGTCATTCCATCCAGATGAGGAAGTAAATGGATCCACAACTGTGCGGCTCAGTGTGAGAATCAGACGAAAGTTAAGCATCCTGATAACAGAATAGCAAATAAACCATTGTTAAATGTAGACAAAGAAACGGGTTGGGCAAATATTTTTGTTAGTGGGTTTGGTTTTAAGAAAGATTTGCCTAGTATGGGCCAGTAGGTTTGCTACAGAGTTCCTCCTATCTTATGTTCTTATATTGAGTTTAATGTAGTCACTGTACATCACGATCAGACTTTCCTATGTCGTAACACTTCCTTTATAAATGAAGGAATTGGAGCTGTCTTGTACCTAACATCAAGCTTGAGTACCTCCCATTACCCAGGTGCAGGATGACCAAAAGGAGTTTCTTGCTTTTTCGTGACTATGGTAATTATAACAACAGTGTTTCTGGCTTGGTGACTGCTGCCAACACTATGGGTCTACATGCATAAATAATAATAATAATAATAATAATAATAATAATAATAATAATAATAATAATAATAATACGCACTCCTCTGGCATGGTGGAAGGTGGTACAGACGAGCCAAGACTGAAGAAGATGAAGCCAGCATCACCAGCACCTTGCACCCAGTCTTCAAGGTCCTACAAGAAAAGATTATCCACGTGAAATATATCATAAATTATTTGAATGACAATGTAAGTGGAATCGGTTCACTGTACTAAGCTGTTTGATATGTTAGGTTTAAGGCTATCGACTGCACGAGGGTCGTCAACACAGAATTTTATTTTAACCTCCAGTCAAAAAAAAAAACCCTCAGGGAAGGTTCCTTGATGTTGGTGAGGGGCTCTTGATTTAGAGAATTGGATCTGTGCTCCAGTTCCACGAATTAAGTCTGAATGCCTTCCATATCCCCCCAAGCGCTGTGTAATCCTACAGGTTTAGCGCTTCCCCCTTGATTATAATAATAATAATCCAGTCAAAAATGCTATTATGCCTGCAACGGGGATGCAGGTAAACCTAAAATTGGGATTAAAGTAAACTTTTGGTGTATATACATTGACAGATCCCAACGGCAGTAAGTCAAGGACCCCAGTGGAAATAACTGACTTTTTTTTGGATTTTCCTACGTAATTTACACGTTACTATGTATGATAAATGTACTTATGTGTACATGTACCTAAATAAATTTACTAAAGATACACACTTCTTAAGATTATATATATTGCTAATGTTACAAGTATCCATTTTAAGTTTAATAAAGGAGCTCTAGCCACTCAAAAACAAATTAAGTTGAATTTTGATACTATTTATTAAAACATATTGAGAATAGGTAGTTTTATTATTATATTCATAAAATGCACTAAAACTGAACGGATCATAAAGAGCTGCAAGACTAAGGAAATATATCGGCAAAGGGAAGTAACGTAAAGGGTATAATTACTAACTATCAAGGAAAGTAGAGAATGGCATAACAAGACTCACGAAATCGTAATGACACGATTGCAGACAAACCATACCACGGCTTTGAGGGGACTTGAGCTAGAGTTCGTCACGGCCATGCTAGCGGGAGAGTCGTCTGTAAAAACTTGCATTTGTGGACACAGTGGTGCTTATGCTAACCTTCCTATAGTGTAGAAATATACCTAGTTGGGGCGTTGACCCCCGGAACTCTCTCCAGGTAATCTTATTGGAGTTTTGAAACTCTCTAACCGCGGGTTCAAACCCCACCCGTGGTATGGTTTGACATAAGAATTCAACAGCAGAGAGTTTCTGTGTTGAAAGCAGGGCTTTCCGAAAGGCCCTGATTCTATAAGAGAAACTTGAATGAATTCCACATGCTCTTGATAAATAGTACAGTCACTCAAAAGGTGTTTGACTGTCAATAAGGCTTGACAAGTTTCAGAGAGAAGCAGCAGGTGCTTTCTCACGTTATAGCTATGTTGTAAGTGTTGTGTGGTCTATACCGAGTCGCGAGAGAACAGTTTCTCAAAAACCAGAACAACAATGAACAGAAGTCTAACAAGAGCTGTACTGTTGTTTGATCAATAACAGCTGTTATTGTCTAACCCGAATCATTGACGTTCCAGCGATCAGACAAAATTGGAGAATCTGAAAATGGGCATATTTCTGTGAGAGAGATATTGCAGCGCTGTATAGCCCTTGTGGTTTAGCGCTTCTTTTTTATTATAATAATAATGTGAGAGTATAATCCTTCAACCGCTAAACATGCAGAACCGTCTTCAAGTTCATTACTCTGAACAGCAGTTAAAGACGATGTTTTTGTGCTTGGTAAAGAGGCCACGCAGCGCTGAATACGAACAACGATGGAATGCAGTGAGTGAAAACTCCAAAGAGCTGACAACACACTTAAAGAGTCAAGAGACCGCAACAAAGAAGGAACTGGGAAGAAAAGTAATGAAGATGATATATGTAAGTAATGTGTATAACACTGCTGTAAATATAACGACTATATTCGGTAAACGTTGTCGTTAAACGTAATTTATATTTCACTTGCTCTAGGAGACAAAAGAAAAAACAGTAATGTTACCACAGAATGTAGAAACACTGTTACTTTACATATGCGAACGCTTTAAGAAATACATACAGGTACTTAAATCACTGACTTAAAATTATAAAATTAACTGAACTCTGATTAACAAAAACTAGATTTCCCATCAGTTCAAATGACAGCCAGTTTATGTGTAATCAAGATGTTAATAATGCAAGTACCAGCAGCAGGACTCAAGAAATCGTCATAAACACGACTGCATGAATGACTAGCATGGTTGTAGCGCTTCGAGCATAAGTATTAAATAAATTAATACAGATTTAATACTTCTTATTCCATTTATGATCTTACGATGTTAATGCCCCAGTAATCTCACTTCACTGTAATGGGCGTGCCTTCCTAACGATGAATGGTGCCTGATTCATGGAAGTGCAGCTACGCTCCCTTTCCATGAATCACATCCGATTACCTCATTATTCTGAATGCCTTCTGGGGTTACCCATCCCAGTGAATATACTACTACTACTACTACTACTGCTGCTATACTACTGCTACTACTATTAATAATGATAGTTTTCTTCGAGAAGCTAGAAATGTGTACGAGGTAACTTACTTGTGGGAGAGGCTGTGCTGGACGGAGATGGATGCCTCCACAACTCACCACGGCAGGAACAATGGGACGAGCTGGGTAATCAACGGTTTGTACACTGTAGAGATGCAACACAACCTAATTATTGTCAACCTTTAGCATATATCTCATTGTTGTTGTTTTGGTTCACTGGCAAATGTCAAAAGGTATTGAGACAATAAGCAAAAGAAGTCTCTATTCTCCAGTCTTGCTCATTGTCGAGCTTTATCAAGTCATGGTTGAGCTCAACACTGACTGAAATAAGGTCTATAAACAGTTCAATTCACAAGGTAAAAGTAGCTATCTTGCCTCGTCTCATTTCAAGTCTAATCCCCATGTGAGGAATTCTAACATTCACTCAGGATGCAACCCACAACAGTCAATTAAAACTTGGGGTAGTAGGTGAAAGGAAACTTGCCAATACGACTCATTCTGCCAGAGAATCGAACCCAGGTTCTTTTGTTTGTAAACTGAGCGTTATTTTTTTAAGGTTAAAAATAGCTGATTACAGCAGTAGGTCTGCTGGTCCATTCCAGGCAGGTCTAAGTGACACCTGACTACACTCACATACCTATTCAAACCATTTTTTATAACTTTAATACTATATTTGGGTTTAGTGGTCACACTGCTACTACTGTGGAAAATACTGTATATATTTTCCAGAAATTCAGTATTTATATGTAAATAGATGGCCATACTGTATTTAATAATATTTATGTAATAGAAAACGGAAAGCCTGCGTCTGCGCAGAGGAGACTCGCCATCTTGGTTTTGAATTGGATACAACGTTAGTTCAATGGGAAGGAATTTTCGTGCTCTAGAGGTTAAAATTGGGCTGACACCTCTCAAATAGGAGGCAAAATTGTTGGACATGCATTCCTGCATAACTTGAGATATCAGACAACTGGACAAGACAACTCCAGGAACCTCAGATAAGCTCTCTAGATTTGTGTATAATTCTGGCCAGTGTTTTCATAAATTTAGTTAGTGAGGTTTTTCTGAGTATGATACAACTTAATATCCAGTCAAATTGGTGAGTGATATTAAGATATATTTTCCTTCTGTTATGTAATTGTGTATATTATATATATATATATACTCATTTTTTAGTATACAGTCCACAAATTTATATATTTACCAGTATTCCTGGTGTATGTATATTTCATTTAATTAATAGGTCCAGAGCAACTTGTGGCTATGACAGTGGTAGGTATCGAAGGGGGACATTTTTTGCGACCTAGGTGTCCCAAATTCCTACTTGTCCATGTTACATTGATAAATAATAATTATCTTTGTTATCATTTACTGTTATGTACATAATTAGTTACATTCAGATAAATGCAATTTTCCACATTTAATTTGCCCGTTGGTCCTTCGAACCGGATGTAATTAGTGAAGTCATTAACTGGTTAATTACTTAATAATTATATGTGAAATGGCAGAAAGAGGTGGATGTTAAGTTCACAAATTTACTGTGTAGTGAATTATAATTATTACAATATTAATTTTGATAAGTTGTCTGGCTAAGTTTATATTAATTTGCATAATATTAATTTGATAAGACAATTCTGGCCAAGATTTATATCAGTGTATGTGTAATTGATAAGCCAGGTGTTGCTAATTATATTAATGTGTATAATATTAATTTTACTTAATGTGTAGTGGATTATAACTATTACAATATTAATTTGATAAGACAATTCTGGCCAAGACTTATATCAATGTATGTGTAATTGATAAGGCAAGTGTTGCTAATTATATTAATGTATATAATATTAATTTTGCTATGTCAAATTCTGGCAAGGATTTATATTAATTTGTATAATAATTTTGATAAGCCAAGGCTGGCTAAAGGTTTATATTAATGTACATTTAAAATTTATATATAAATTTCTTACATGTGTAATTGCTAAGCTCAAGTGTAGCTAATATTATTAATGTGTATTTAAAATTTATATTACATTTTTTTAAGCTCAAGTAGCTAGAATTTATTTAAAGGTAAGTTGCACTATTTACCTTTATAAAGTGCATAATTTAGTACATAATCAGTGTTATTAAGTTGAATTTAATACATTGCATCATGGCTGAAAATGAGGAAATTAATATAGAAGATAAACATATGGAATATAGAGTAAAGAAAGCATCAATACAGGCTAAAAAAGTTCATGTAACCAAGGCATGTAATAAGTGTTTGGAATTAATGAATCAAGAAACTGTGAATACTGTTGATTTAAAATTGTATTTAGATGCTTTAGGTAATAGATATGATTCATACAAATTATATTACAACAAATATGAAGGTGATTTATTAGTAAACTGTGTAGATGAGACTGAAATAGATCTCATGATTAATCAGTATTATGAATTAGAGGAAAAGATTCTTTCTTGTAAAAGTCAGGCCTTGAATAAATTAAAATGTGTAAACCAGGCAGTTGGTCAGTCTGCTCCAACAAATAATATGTCTTTGCCAAAACTCCCAGAATTGTGTTTACCTGTATTTAATCCTGGAGAAAATTTGGAGGATATTTTGGTCAATTTTTAAAGCAGCTGTGCATGACAGGAGTGACCTAGCCTGTGTAACTAAATTATTTTACATCAAAGGACAGGTAAGAGGAGATGCTCACATACTCATACAAGCCTTTCCCAATGAAAATGACTCTTACAAGGAAGCAGTTGACATGTTGAAGGTCACTTATGGTAATATAGAACAAAGTAGGTTGGATCTAGTGAATATCATTGTTAATTTAAAATCTCCAGATCACACTTACAAAGGTTTACAGCAGTTTAGAGTTAAACTGAAGAGCACTCTCAAAACTTTAAGTAATAAATATAATCTGAAGGAATCAGACTGGTTATTGAGTGCCATGATACAGAATAAATTAAGCTGTAAAACACTTGAATGACTCTCGAACAAATATCACAAGGGTTATTTTGGTCTGGACGAAATAAGACTAGGTCTACAAGAATTAATTGTGCAGTTGCAGACCAGCCAACTAACTCATTTTAAAGATGCAAACACATAATAACTCTGAGGTACCTGTCAAGTTTCACAAAGGGAGAAATTATCCCAATGTTAATAATCAAAATTCATTTCCTAAAAAGAGTTGCATAGGTGCATATCAAGTAGCAAGAATCAGAAATAATGATTCTCCACTAGGTAAGAAGAATAAGTACCCTCCTAAGAGTAGCCCATTTAATAAGAAACCAGTCAGAGAAAAGAGAGATTGTCTTTTCTGCAATGCATACAATTCATGGAATGATAAAGTTGAAAGACTGGAGGAACTTGACAGATGTATCAGATGTTTAGGTAATCACAATGTAAAGGATTGTTATGCTAAATTAAACTTCTGTTATCAATGTCACAAAGGAAGACACCATATAGTCATGTGTAAAGGTCTATATGATAATGTTGATAATAATGATAATGTTGACAATCCTGACACAACAGTGGCTAATGTAAAAATTGCTGCTAATGTTAATAATGATGGTTTTGCTGAAGTAGCCTTACCTGTGTTACAGGTAAAAATTGATGATAAAAGGCATAAATTAAAAAATGTAACTGCATTATTAGACCAGGGATCCCAGCGTACTTTCATTAAACGTAAATGTCTTGATGGTATGAAAGTACAGATGGGAGATCCCACAACTTTAAAATTATCTGGTTTTCTCTCGGATAAAAGAGCTCAATTGTATGACACTGTTTATGTAACTGTCTGGTTGGGCAATTAGAAAAAACGTGTTAATGCAGTAATTGTAGATAGACTTCCAGAGAAAATATCTACAGTAGGGCTTAGTAAAGCTACAGAAAGACTTTCACATAATGTAAATTTAGCACCTTCTGGGGTAAGTGATGATTCTGTAGGCCCAATAAATATTTTGATAGGTAGTGAGTCTTATGCCTCCTTTGTAAAGGGTATGGTAAAGAAATGTGGTATCACCCTTTTGAGGACTGCAGGAGGCCATGTAATGTATGGTAGGATTCCTCGTAATAAAAAATTCATGACTAGAGGAAACTACAAATACCATAAACTGTGTGTCTTACTCATGAAGTCGTGCCCCAGTATAATTCTTTCATAGAGGATGGTGTTGAGCCAGTGCATAAATTGTGGGAATTAGACATCATTGGAATAAATGTAAATGAAGAAAGTCCAGACGATTCTTTTACTCAGGAGCAATACCTGAAAGATGCAAAATTTGAATCTGGACAATACTGGGTACGACTTCGTGGAGACTGAACCATCAGAATTGCCACTAATTACAGAATGGCATATGGGCAGCTAAAGGCTCAACTCCGCGAACTGAGTAAGACACCAGAATTGTTAACTGCCTATAATGATATAAATGCTGAACAATTAATTAATAAATTTATAGAAGAGGTACCTCCTGAGCAAGCCAAAATTTATGGTCACTATTTGCCACTCATAGAGTGAAGAAGGATTCTAAGACCACTCTCTGAGAATTGTGTTTAATTGTAGTGCCAGGAGTACACAAAATGTACCTAGTTTAAATGACTGTTTGATGACAGGTCCGTCGTTGACGGAAAAATTAGGAGATATCTTATTAAATTTCAGGATGAAAAATTATGCCTTTACGGCTGACATAAGTAAAGCTTTCCTAAGAGTGGGTTACAAGAGGCTGACGGGATTGTACCGCTTCTTATGGCCTGAGAATCTAGTGACCCACTTAGCCCTCTGAAAACCTTTCGCTTTAGGAGGTTATTATTTGGTGCTACATCCAGTCCGTTCCTACTTCAAGCGACGATAAATGCACACCTTAAACATATGGGAAGTCCATTGAGTAAAGTAATGAGCAAACAATTTTATGTGGACAATTTCCTGGGTGTGACGTCAATGAGAGGAACTGTTAATGACTTATGGAGAGGCTAGTAAAATATTGCAAAGTGCAGATATGCCTCTGAGAGAATGGAATAGTAATTGTCCAAATGAAGGACAAAAATAAGTAAGATTACCCTGGAGATGAAGTGCAAATTGTAGTAATGTATTGGGTTTAACTTGGGATACTGAGAGAGATTTGTTATGGTTTAAAACCTAATAATTACAGTATGCCCAATAAATTAACTAAGAGAGTTTTGCTTGCTGAAGTTTCCAAATGTTTGATCCTCTAGGTTTAGTGTCACCCCTTACTATAAGAGGGAATTATTAATTCAGGAAAGCATGGAAACTTAAATGGCTTGGGATGAAATTCTACCTGAGGAATCATTAACAGGTGGATGAATTAATTGGTGATTATGAAAAAATTCAATGTTGGAGTTACCACGACTAGGCGGCCAATCCAAATGGGAAAAATGTACTCACACATTTTTGTGATGCTTCAAAATTGGCATATGGAGCAGTTGCTTACCTTCAATGTAATAGTGTTATTTCTCTTTGTTATGTCTAAGGCTAAAGTGTCTCCAATTAAATCATATACCTTACCTCACTTGGAATTAACAGCATTTATGTAGGTGTCAAATTAGCTAATTATATAAGAAATAAGTGCAGGAGATAAATATTAGCGACACTGTAATTTGGTCTGATAATGAGGTATCCTTACAATGGATCGTAATGGAAAAGAGTAAATTGTGTATGTACAAAACAGAGTCGCTGAAATTAATCAGATGCAATAGAAGTTATATAGTTTGGGTCAGCATATGTTAACCTTTAATCATATACTGGGGAGGAGAATCAGCCGATTTCTTGTCTCGAGGTTTACCTATGCTAATTTGTAAATGCTGTATCATGGTTTAAAGGACCGAGCTGGTTGGTAAATAAAGCTAATTGGCCTGTACAAAAGGCGTATATTGCTCCTGTTGAAATTACTGTGACCATCTCTCCAATAGTTTGTCCACCCTTAGCCATTGATATAAATAGGTATTCTTCTTTACCCAAACTAATCAATGTAACTAAATTGGTGTTTAAATTTCTAAACAAGATGAATATTTCATTTAAGTTTTCACATCCTCTTGAATATTGGATAAAGAGGGAACAGGAGGAAATCTATGGAAATGAGATTAAATTGATGATGGAAAGAAAAATTGTGAAAGGTTCCATAATAGAGAAATTGGGGCTGTGTTTAGAGAACAATGTAATTAGGTGCAGAGGTAGGTTACAAAATGCTGAATTGGGTGATTATGCTAAACATTCTATCTTACTGCCCAAAACTCATCATCTAACAAATTTGAGTGTTCTAAATGCCCATAAAAATGTAATGCATGGTGGGGTACAAGATACCTTAAATTGTATTAGGGAAACTTTCTGGATTCCACAAGGACGGCAAAGTGTAAAAAGGGTGATTAAATCTTGTGTAATATGTTGCCGTGTGGATGCCAGATCCTATATGTACCCAGGTCCTCCACCATTGTCAAATGAGCAATTTGAGTCGTTTAGCAATGAACTCCGGCCGGCTGCAGTGTGGAAAATACTGTATATATTTTCCAGAAATTCAGTATTTATATGTAAATAGATGGCCGTATATACTGTATTTAATAATATTTATGTCATAGAAAACGGAAAGCCTGCTTCTGCGCAGAGGAGACTCGCCATCTTGGTTTTGAATTGTATACAACGTTAGTTCAATGGGAAGGAATTTTTGTGCTCTAGAGGTTAAAATTGGGCTGACACCTCTCAAATAGGAGGCGAAATTGTTGGACATGCATTCCTGCATAACTTGAGATATGAGACGACTGGGCAAGACAACTCCAGGAACCTCAGATAAGCTCTCTAGATTTGTGTATAATTCTGGCCAGTGTTTTCATAAATTTAGTTAGTGAGGTTTTTCTGAGTATGATACAACTTAATATCCAGTCAAATTGGTGAGTGATATTAAGATATATTTTCCTTCTGTTATGTAATTGTGTATATATATAATAATTTTTTAATATACAGTCCATAAATTTATATATTTACCAGTATTCCTGGTGTATGTATATTTCATTTAATTAATAGGTCCAGAGCAACTTGTGGATATGACAGTGGTAGGTATCGAAGGGGGACATTTTTTGCGACCTAGGTGTCCCAAATTCCTACTTGTCTATGTTACATTGATAAATAATAATCTTTGTTATCATTTACTGTTATGTACATAATTAGTTACATTCAGATAAATGCAATTTTCCACAACTACTACTACTATAGCTCCTACCACTACTAGTAAGACTACTGCTACAACTATTACTAATAAAAGATATGCTGCTTCTACTAGTACTACTACTACTACTAATAATAATATTAATAATAACAATAATACAAAATATTTAACCCACCTGTTTATCAATAAAAGACTAACATTTTTGCGAATTTCTAAAAGACTTGGCATATCATCTGAACAAAGACCTCGGCGACGACATTCAGGCTCCATTCTGTGGGAAACAAAGAATTAAGTCACATTAAGACACTTAACAAAGCATTTGTTTTTAGGCTTTCTCGAAGGGGTGCCTTTACGAGGCGGCCGGATTTTTTCTTAGGTTAGGTTAGGTTCGTCAGGAAATAGGACAAGTGTTTCCTGACGTGGGTCTTAGTCATATGATGACCCGCAGGAATTTTTCTTCCTCCTCAGCTTCATTTATAGGCTGAGAATGCCTCACCTAATCAGGTTTAATTTTTCAGTGCTGGTTTACTGTAACTAGGGAAGAATTCGTGCATCTACTGACATATGCAAATGCTCTCTGGCCAATGCTGTGTAGATTATTCCAGGAATGAGTTCGATAACTTTACGAAGCTGATAGTGCATTAATTATAAGTGGAGAAAAGTTAAGAAACTTAGAATTATTGGATTTTATGTAATAATTCGAAAATGCATATTCTGATTGGTTTCAAACTTTTCGTAAACTTTTTCTCGAGGAAACTTCACATACATTTTGGGTTGTGTAAGTTTTAACTTTTTAATATTATAATAAACAAAACTGGTTTCCGTTCAAGAATTGAGGAAGACCCGGGCCAGGACTGCACCGGCGAACTTACAAGAAGTGCAAGAACTGGAAATGGCTCTTTCGACAGGCTTCAAGCTCTAAAGCCTAGTATACTTTGTTTAGATATTTAAAATCTTAAGTGCCTTATAAATTTACGCTCTCTGCACTTTTTTTACAGGCACTGAGATAGACGGGACTAGATAATAGGATGTTAGGATACCTTTCTTGGATTACGTAGCGACTGTATCTTATCCTTGATTCATACTGGACAGATAACCTGGAGCCTTAGTGACCCTCCTGTGGTCAATAGGCTTCAAATGTTATTAATCTAATATTGACTTTATATGGTAAAAGCTGTTTCCTATCTCAGTACATGTACGGGGTAAGAGCTGTTCTCCCACAGCCCAAATACTGGACAAGAACACTCAGGTACCCACCGGCCTCTGCATGAAAAGGGCAGTAATTATAAGGATATTTTCCCATCCGTTTGATTTACGACTGACAAAAGAATCATTTAAAAACCAAACCACTACATACCTGTAGGCCACGTAGTAAGAGAAGACCACATCCATGGCCACATCAGACAAAGTGCTGATTGCTCGCTCCATGAAGGTCATAGGATACCTGTACTCTAACATAGGAGAGGCATCATAGGAAGGAAAACGTGTGTTACCATCATCGACGCAAGTGGCCCTATCAACCCAGACGGACTCACATATATGAAAGGAACCTGACGAAGAATGAAAATAGCATCAATATTCAATAAAATAGAAAGGAACAATATTTGTGTTTGGAAATTTTTACAGTGCTTACTACTGATACACGTCTGACAACTGCTTGGAAGACTAGTAATTTACTAATAGGACCAGATGTATTATAAAAATTATACTACATTATTATAAAAAATGAAGTGCTATACATTATTAATATATTATATCATAGAGTTATGAAAGGGATTAAGTAGGCTTTGAGAAAAAAAGGATGATGTTAACATACTACCTAGACTAGAAGGCTAAGGGCACGATTTATACTGTATCGTCTGGCACTCTCAATCTATAATATGTTTGAAGTTAAATTAGGCATTTATACACACTACACATTCTAGTTTGCAAATATTTTCCATATTAGGATTTGTTTATTGTTGTGTTGCTTCTCTGTATCCTCAGGGAAGAGGTTTGATGCTGGTGAAAGGCTCTTGATCCAAGGCCCCTCAAGAAAGGTTCCTTGATGTTGGTGAGGGGCTCTTGATTTAGGGAATTGGATCTGTGCTCCATTTCCCCCGAATTAAGTCTGAATGCCTTCCACATCCCCCCCCAGGCGCTGTATAATCCTCCAGGTTTAGCGCTTCCCCCTTGATTATAATAATAATAATCTTGATCCAAGGAATTGGAGTCCCTCTCCCTTTCCCCAGATCAATCCATTCATCAAGTGCTGCATGACTGCACTGGGCTCAGTGCTCTCCTCTGAATATAACCTCTGTTTACAAAAAAAAATAAATAGGCCTATAATGTGGTTTTTATTTAACCTGTATTATCAACTTACTGAAATAACTATATCTATACAATTACAGTATTTAAATACCTTTTTTTATATAAAAAATCGAAAATATAAGTAATAAAATATGGTACGTAACTTACCTTCAGTTGATGAACTACTGACAAGAAACAGTCGGACATAAACACGCTGAGGAGAACCAAATCAAAATCTTCTTTCAGTAAATTCTGAACTTCTTCCTTGCCCAGAGCATCAGCACAAACACTGGGCGTAAAACCCATGAGAATGATAGGGGCAGTCATTCGATGCCCAGTAAAGAAATTCGGAAAATAATCGGAAAGATCCACGCCTGTCAGGACCACCTCACGCACATTTTCCCTCACCTTAGATGGCTTAAATGAAGACACCATTGTAACCTGTAAGAAAAGAAGTATTATAAGTGTTTCTCTTCCTCATGAAACAGGACAAGCTTATCCAGAATCACATCTCCGACATCTGATGAACCGCTCAGTGGTTAAACAATCAATGGTGTTGTAGATGAATGTATCAGAGAACCGGCACGTTGATAAATTAGACACATGTGAAACTCTTGCGTATCTTTAATAAAGATACCCAAGAATTGCACATGAGTAATTTATCAATCAATGGTGTACCAGAGCTAGATTTTTCTACCCCAATTATATCATCACACAGTGTTTTAAGACCTAGGATATAATGGTCTTCATAAAGGTTGTATTCAAATTAGCTTAAAATACATATGTTCAGATAATGATCACCCACTATGAATATAGGTGAGGGTTTCGAAGCAGAAATGAGACACTGAACACAATGTACAACAGCGTGCGATGTCTTATTTGCTAAGTTATTGCTGTGGGAGATTCGACAATATGCGTATCCGAAATGGCCTCGTTCCCATGTCTGGATATGAGAGACATTACTATAACCATTGTTTGTAACTGGTGGCATAAAACAATGAACATGTATATATTAAAAACTCACTCACTCTCTCTCTCTCTCTCTCTCTCTCTCTCTCTCTCTCTCTCTCTCTCTCTCTCTTACTTTCGCTAATAATCATATACCACTAACCTGGTTTTCATCATCAGCCAAAGCATTGACAATGCCCATGAAAAAGTTTTTGTGGCTTTGAGAAGCGATGGGTGCCAAGAAGAGCACTCTGCTAGCTAACACTGCCTGTAACACTGCAGCACCCACCAACACTGCTACCCACCACTGCATCTAGAAAGAAAAGATTTAATCAGCACTGTAGGAAAAACCCAACAAAAAAGAACAAAAAGTCAGTTACCGTGGTTGAAACAATTCAATGTCTACTGACGCCGTCTACTGATACCTGGTCCGTAGCTGTGTAGCCTTTGACTACACAGCTAGGGACCAGGGCAGTAGAAGCTTCCGATCTTAACTACTGCATAATACAAACAGGAAAAAACTTGAATTTATTGGGAGTCACATCCCAACCCGGAATATTAGAGAGTTCTTGTTCTGATCCCCATTTATTGTATAAAAAATGGCTACATAGTTATGTTATGGGAATACCCAGTGTGCGGCTATCCTATTCTACTTCGAGAGAATGTTCCCAACATCCGGCTACCCTATTCTACTTCGAGAGAATGTTCGCAACATCCGGCTATCCTATTCTACTTCGAGAGAATGTTCCCAACATCCGGCTATCCTATTCTACTTCGAGAGAATGTTCGCAACATCCGGCTATCCTATTCTACTTCGAGAGAATGTTCGCAACATCCGGCTATCCTATTCTACTTCGAGAGAATGTTCCCAACATCCGGCTACCCTATTCTACATCATAAAAATTGTGGGAACACCCGCAGTATCTAGCTTCCTTATTCAACATCAGAGGTCTCTAAACTTTTCAGTACGAGGGCCACATCGTACATTAAACACATTTTCGCAGGCCAAAGAAAAATTCAATCTTATAAATAAATATAAATGAATGAATATGTTTTATTTGGATCCTTTTTTTGATCAGCATGATATGATTCAGAACAAAAGAGAAATGTGACAGTTACGAAGACACAATACCGTACTTACACTGGGAAATGATACATAATTAGTAAAAATGTCAAGCATAAGCCAATGTTCTGATGGTATAATAAATTACTGAACTGTAGATGAGAAAAGCTGGCATAAGATTAATGGGAATGATGCAACTTTTTTTTTAACTGCAAAATATTGATGAAGCGAGGTTTCAGGTTTGAAGAGCAAATTATTTGAATGGACTTCAAATGCTCATCAGATAAATTTGCGTGATATCTGGACCTGACATATTTAATTTTTGAAAATGTTTGTTCGTAAAGAAACATTGTACCAAAAACGGACACGAATCCACAAGCAAATCGCTTGAAATTTGGAAACTTCAGGCTGTAAAGATTCACAAAATTGGATCAGATGACCTTCTTCATACTTTTCTTTCATCATGTCGTCTGACTAGAGATCAATAATTTCCATTTGAATCTGACTTGAGAGTGTTTCAACACTGCAGTGAAATGGATTTTGAAACAGGTTTATTTCATCAGTTTTTCCATCAAGATCAGAAAATAGTTTCTGAAATTGGTTTTGCAAGTCATTAATGTTGGAAATGAAGAAGGAAATTCTGCTTCACTTTCTTCATGAAATTCTTCACATGGGAAATGAACCAAGTTAGAAACTTTCACCTGTCCTTCATATAGCATCAGTTTTGCCCTGAATGCCTTGACATGCGTGAATAGATCACAAATCAAATTTGTTTGAACTTGCAACTTCAGATTCAGTTGATTCATAAGGTTTGGCACGTCTGCAAAAAATGCCAATTTCCACAGCCAGTCAACGTCTCATAAAGTGGTTCGGGTCGATTCTTCTCTGTGAAAAATTAATCAATTTCCTTTCTGAGCTGAAAGAACCGTGATAGAACCTTTCCACAACTAAGCCATCAAACTGCTGTATAAGTCATCGAACTCGGAATCAGTTTCTTTCATAAAAATCACGAAATTGGCGGTGATTCAGCCCGTGAGACTGAATGAAATTCACTGTTGAAACAACTGGTTTCAGAACGCAAGACATATTTACATATTTTCCGAGCAGTGCTTGCTGATGGATAACGCAATGCAGAAATATGGGATTCTGAGAATCCACCATCCTAAGCTTTTGTGATTTGTCCAACCAAACCTTTCTTCACTCCAGAAATCTTTTTTTTTTCTTCCCTCAATTGTCACGCATTGCAGTTTATTTCACTTCAGGTTACCCTCTAATATTTTTTTTTTCAGTTCTATGAAGATGTCTTCTCTGGTTCCTGTGTTGTGTATGCTATGCACTGAAGCTAATTCTTGTGTGACAATAAATTCATAGTCGGCGCCACGGATGAATACTAGTTGTGATATGTCACATCATTCATCAAGTGCGAGAGAATAAAACTGGAAATTTTGTGCTCTGCAGTTTGATGAATATATTGTTTCCTGTATCCTCAGTTCTACGAGCAACAGTATCTGGCGCAAGAATGAGGATTTTGAACAGATTTCTGGGCATCAGACCTTGATCCACCATGAGGCCTGGTCTCCGACCGGGCCGCGGGGGCGTTGACCCCTCGAAACCCTCTCCAGGTAAACTCCAGGTAAACAACTCTCCTACTGCTTCCATCATACACTTTTTGACCAGATCTCCTTCGGTGAATGGCTTTCCTCTTTTTAGTTAACGCATAAGCTACTTTGTATATGGCCCTGGTTAAAGCTTAATTTACGGCTCTCTTCTGCGAAAAAAACCTTGTTGGGAAAGGAACCTGTGTTACAGTGATTCAAACCTTTCCGGACGCTGTGTTCCTGTCAATTGGGAATAACTTGGTTTATGTTTGGTTTCATAGTGCCGACGTACATTGTACTCCTTGTGTGTCGTGTCATACGACACACAAGGCTTTATCATCTGCTTGTATAAAGAAGTACTTTACGCTCCATTTTTCATTAAACAAGCGGCACTCACTCTCCACTGTTCTTTTCCTTTTTCCTTCTATAACTGAGAGGTATATCTGAAAAATGAAAAAATTAGAACTAAAATTTGAACAAATTTTGACATAAACTGTTACAAGCAACAAAATCAATAAGTGACTGAAAATGAGGGTTTATTAGTTTTACTATTTATAAATATTTCAAGTTGCTCCGGGCCGCATAAAATCTTGTGGCGGGCCGCAGTTTGGTGACCCGTTCTACATCTTAAACATACTGTGGGGAAAACCCGCAGCATGCGGCTATCCTACTCTGTATGATAGTTACATTGTAGAGACTTAATTAAGCTATCTGTGTTTGTCTCTTATATTCCATCACACCGGATGGATTACGTGCATAACATAATTAAATCTGTTAGTCTGAACTGAAAAACTTCAATAGGATAGTGAGAATATTACCAAGCACTCCACTAAAGGTTCAATAATTATGTAAATTTGAAAGATTTTGTTTCAGCAGGACTAGAGTTACTATCACTCGAAAATTTTGCGAAAGATGAAGGCCTGACCACGCGTCGGAAGAGAAAGTGTAACGAGGAGGTTGTGAGTTAGCACTGAAGGCCATCAACTACAGGTTAAGGCTGAATGCCACCTGCAGCCTACGCCACCAATCATGAGAACTGTGTATATGTTCAGAGACAAATCTTTCGATATATATATATACACAAAAAATAAACATTTCTTAATGCACATACAGAGATACATCTTTCAGTATATATACACGACCCTGTGTTGTCAAAATGACCTCTTTATTAGGTGTAACATAATCCAAATCTTTTTCATATTTTCTACGGAACTCATTGCTCAGTAATCTTATATTACATCTGAATAACCTGAGTTTTGGGAGCAAAATCACCTACAAGCACATTCATATGAGACTGGAGGCTACCCGGCACAATAGTTCAGAGGTTTCACTCAAGTTTAATCATAACACGCATGATGGATGCCAACATTATAACTGATCTATAACCAGATTAGCTGAAATGATTCACAGTTTTATAAACAAATGCAACGGAGGAGAAGTAGACGTAGAAATAAGAAGGCAGCGGCTGGAGTACTATACAATAGTACAATAGGGAAAAAAATAATAGCAGAGTATTTAGTATTAGTGAAGAAAGAGTAGTGGTAATAGTGGATTATTATATTATCATGGGGAGCACTAAACCCGTGGGGATTATACAGCGCCTGTTGGGGGGGGGGGTAGTAGACATTCAGGCTCAATTCAGGGAACTGGAGCACAGATCCAATTTCCTAGATCAAAAGCCCCTTACCAGCGTCAAGGAACCTCCCTCAGGGGGTAGTAGTAGTAGTAGTAATAGTGGAGGTAGTCCAGAAGAACAATAAAAGCGAGAGGAGCTGTGTAGTCGAACACAAACGCCGTCATGTTTCAGTCTCCCAAGTGCGGGTTATATGTGCATTGTTCCACCCACGGTAGTGTAACATTTGTTATTTATAAATGCTCATGTTATCACCACTTTCATTTTTAGTTTCTAGAGCTACGATGAGAATAAAACTTTCGGCTTACCTGACGCGACTCTCGGGTAACATACATTAAGAATGTCTAAACTTGCTCGAGTGCCACAGAACGTGATGTTGTCTGAACCAGTGATGTCAGTGACTACACTGGCTCATGTTTACACCCTACGACACACAAATATCTTCATATAATCACGACTTGGTACTTGGCTCAAGCCGGTTTATAGCTGAGAGTCTAAGGTCATGGAGGGAGGGGGAGAGAAAGATGTGTATACACAGAGAACGACATACAGAATAGTGGGTAACTCTTATTTCGACTGAAGAGAAACAATTGATTCATAGAAACCCTGTATTTGCAGTTCTGAGTAGAACGTTATCAAGTCAATATTTATCGTATACTTAGATCTATAAGTAGCATTTTGATTTTTTTCTTCGCACGAAATGTCTCTTTTTGGCATAACTGCCAGCAAATCTTGCCCTCTAGCATCATCAGTATTGTTTAAAAATGTAAGTAGTCAGGTATTATGACACAAATTCGTAAGTTTAATGTAATTAAATAAAATAATAGCGCTACTCTTCTGTGTTGAAATGTTGGGTTAAATAATTTGATTAATGGAGAATACGACTGGAAATAAGGTGGCTATAACACTGTTATCTTTCAGTTAATAGAAGAAACTTTTCACGACTTTTCGGTTCCTACTGGACCTTCAAAAAAAGTCACGATATGTTGATTAATTATGATCCAAATTTGCCCGAAACGTCGTCTAAAGTTTTTTCTCTTTCAGAACTGCACTTCAGGCTGAATTCAACTAGAACTGTAATGCTAATAAAACTAGTTGGAATTTACTAGGACTTGGACGAGGAAACTGAGCACAATTCAGGCAGGAAAATAAGAGATTTAGGCAGTAAAGGTGACGAGAAGCCAAGGAATAAGAAAAGCTAACGGAGGACATGAAACCAAAGTTGCTAGAGAGTCCTAAGAGCAGTAGCAAAGCTTTCTTCCAGGTATATAGGACAAATTATTAATATAATTATACTCATGGGAGAAATTTTAGTAAGCTATAAACCTTTATAATTGATACCAACAAAGGGGTTTATAAAGACGCGTGAGTATATATTAGACATTTAAAAAACTCTTCGGTCCTGGGACCTTGATTAATAACCCAGGATATGGAAAAAGACACTTATGTACAGTTCAGGACATTTATTAGAGGAAACGTTTCGCCACGAGTGGCTTCTTCAGTCCGAAAGTGCCAAGCAGTGTGGCTTATTTCCTGGCCAAAGCAGTCGACTAATTCATAGGTATCTACTGCTATGTCTTGTTTTCTGACAAATCGTACCTAATCTAACCTAATTTACTGCTAGGTGGCAGGTGCGGCAGGTGTTACGAGGCTTGCCCTTGCGCCTGGCCTCGTAGTGGGGTTAAATTTCTCGTTCTCTCGGTTGTGATTCAAGGAAGAGAAGCATGGCTAGATTCCTTTAATCAAGAGCCAACATCAGTGAACTTATTTTGAAAGGATGTATGTTACTAGTCCGACAGTTTTCCTTCAGAAGAGATATTGAATATTGTTAGACTGCAAAAAAATTACGTAAAATTGAGCAGATTATTTCGAACTCACATGGAAAAATAAAACAGCATAGAATAGGGAAGTTTTACGTTTATTAGCTTCTGCATCCTCAAAAAAACATTAACCACAGCCAATGCATCCCCATCTCATAAATTTTTGATACATACATACACACACACATATATATATATATATATATATATATATATATATATATATATATATATATTATATATATATATATATATATATATATATATATATACACACGCAAAACAACCACTGTGAAAGAATAGAGAAGTTCCATGCGCTTTCGTGACTACTCACATTATCAATGTGAGTAGTCACGAAAGCGCTTGGAACTTCTCTATTCTTTCACAGTGGTTGTTTTGCGTGTAATATATATATATATATATATATATATATATATATATATATATATATATATATATATATATATATATATATATATATATATATATATATATATATATATATATATATATATACTTTAAAGATACACTATATTTTTACATAGTACTCTTGAGGAGATAATTTTTCATTAAAAACCTACAATAGACAAATTAAACCTAATTCAAATATTTAATAATAATTATTTTACAATACTTTGGTCTCGCATATCCTTTAATATAGCAAAATAACTGGTGGGAGTTTAAATAGGATTAGTCTATTGGTTTCTGCGATATAACAGAGATAATCCCCTTCTGAAAGTCAGTCTCCGTGGCTATCAGCCGTCTGTAAGTCGGGAAAACTTTATGGAAATCGCCCATCAAGTTTCGGAAACTGATTCAACTTACATTGTTACAGTGTTTTACTGGGTTCGAAGGTGTTAAGGTACAGCTGGTAGACTTCTTGAATGTTTGCATCTCTGGCTCCTGGGCTTTTGGAAACTGATTTAAAGGTTCTCGAGTACTTGGGAAGATTAAGCTGCAGCTCCTGGGTCTGTTAAGAGAGATCAGCTGCAGCTACTACTGAGGCTTCTGAGGTAGAGCTACTAGGCTTCCAGCAAGGGTTTAGGCACAGGAGGCTCAGGTTATGTGATAAAGGGATAACTCTCTCACATCATGCAATGACTCAGTGTCTGTTATTAACTTATCCTTGGCAACATAAATTGCCTCATCCATATATAGTGTAATAATAGTTTCGCAGAGAAACACTAGGACCTAGCTGTGTAATAAATAGAATGACAGGAAATATACACTAGGCAAGAATAATTTTAATCAGTTTTGGCCTTTGATTTGGAGAAGAGCCAGGAACACAAGGAAATTATAAGTCGTACTGAGACGTAGCTGATAATGACGAGCAAAACAACTACTGTTGCCCACACGTCCACGTTGTACAGCTCGTACCTGAAATTATAACGACACTGTTTAGACAAGATGGAACTGTGGTATGAAAAACGGAAAAAACTTAATAAAAATAACAAATGCGTGCTAAAGGAATAACAGGAAAAGTCGGTCGATGGATCTATAATTTCCTCACTAACAGAACACAGAGAGTAGTCGTCAACAGAGTAAAGTCCAAGGCAGCTACGGTGAAAAGCTCTGTTCCACAAGGCACAGTACTCGCTCCCATCTTGTTCCTCGTCCTCATATCTGACATAGAGAAGGATGTCAGCCACAGCACCGTGTCTTCCTTTGCAGATGACACCCGAATCTGCATGACAGTGTCTTCCATTGCAGACACTGCAAGGCTCCAGGCGGACATCAACCAAATCTTTCAGTGGGCTGCAGAAAACAATGTGAAGTACAAAACAAATTCTGGCCACAAAATAGAGCGAAACACCAACGTCAAAGACCTGGGAGTGATCATGTCGGAGGATCTCACCTTCAAGGACCATAACATTGTATCAATCGCATCTGCTAGAAAAATGACAGGATGGATAATGAGAACCTTCAAAACTAGGGAGGCCAAGCCCATGATGACACTCTTCAGGTCACTTGTTCTATCTAGGCTGGAATATTGCTGCACACTAACAGCACCTTTCAAGGCAGGTGAAATTGCTGACCTAGAAAATGTACAGAGAACCTTCACGGCGCGCATAACGGAGATAAAACACCTCAATTACTGGGAGCTCTTGAGGTTCCTAAACCTGTATTCCCTGGAACGCAGGCGGGAGAGATACATGATTATATACACCTGGAAAATCCTAGAGGGACTAGTACCGAACTTGCACACGAAAATCACTCACTACGAAAGCAAAAGACTTGGCAGACGATGCAACATCCCCCCAATGAAAAGCAGGGCTGTCACTAGCACGTTAAGAGACCATACAATAAGTGTCAGGGGCCCGAGACTGTTCAACTGCCTCCCAGCATACATAAAGGGGATTACCAACAGACCCCTGGCAGTCTTCAAGCTGGCACTGGACAAGCACCTAAAGTCGGTTCCTGACCAGCCGGGCTGTGGCCCGTACGTTGGTTTGCGTGCAGCCAGCAGTAACAGCCTGGTTGATCAGGCTCTGATCCACCAGGAGGCCTGGTCACAGACCGGGCCGCGGGGGCGTTGACCCCCGGAACTCTCTCCAGGTAAACTCCAGGTAATGAAGAAAAATGAATAGGTTTTCATTAGGTGAGTTACTGCCATGATTTTTACCACGACTCCTTCAAAGATATCCTGGAAGGGTGAGAGGAAAGTGTTCCTGGGTTATATGTATGTAACTGAAAAATATATATGCTTTGATTGGCATGGGATTGATTAGGTGATATGATTTTGCCTGATGGCTATACTAAGGTCATTAATTAAGACTTCAATGGTTAACTCTTCACCACCAGACACGAATGCTCTAATCAATAAAATAAGGATTAAAACACACACATACAAATATGCAATACAATCGCGGATAGGTGATCTTAACAATGCAATACAAACCACGGGGATGGAAATCTTCAGCTCATGATACTCGGTTCACTATCAAAAAATTCGCCAAATTTTTGCATCTGGTCACGAACACATGATCGGGTGCCGAACAAGCGCAGCTCCACCAGTTTTCACATTCCGAACCATTTTTTTTTTTTTGCACGCGCCAATTTTCCTCACTTCCCGTTGTTTGTGTACACCTAACATATTATTATTATTATAATCAAGGGGGAAGCACTAAACCCGTAGGATTATACAGCGCCTATGGGGGGATGGAAGGCATTCAGGCTTAATTCAGGGAACTGGAGCACAGATCCAATTCCCTAGATCAAGAGCCCCTCACCAGCGTCAAGGAGCCTTCCTTGAGGGGACACCTAACATAGACCCCTCACCTTGCAGTCGGTCTCAGTTAGACGTGCGTTCATTCGCTTTGAACTCCTTGTGTTTTATGTTGTGTGTTTTTTAATTCATTTTGCAATTAGCCATGGCCACTAAGCAAGTGAAGAGTGCGTGGGTAAAAAGAAGGGTTTGAAGAAAATTTAAATAGAAGTGAAGAAGGAAATTACCGAAAAGTATGAGAGTGGTGTGCGTGTTACCGATCATGCTGCGGAGTTCAAGAAGCTGAAATCTACGATCCCGACTTTTCTGAAGCAAAGAGCGGCTATTAAAGCAGCTAATGTTGCCAAGGGAGTTACGATGTGAACCAAG